GGGGGTGGGGGGGTGGGGGGCTCGTTCTGTAAGGAAAGAAAAGCACATAAGCCAAGCCAAATCACAAGTCTTGTGTAGTTTATAATGGCATATAAGAAGGGGGATAATGATGCAAAACGAAGAATGCAAAGAAAACTGGTCGAACTAGGTCGCGATGTACGTAGAATTAGGTAAAACATTGACGGATGGAGTAGTTGGATATACACAGTAGAAAGACAACAACACTCAATACTATTCCATTTCCATGAAAAATGGGTACGTTTAAGATAATCAAGCTGTACTTTACATAATAGTAAAACATTCGGTAAAACTTGTTCCAGCACAACATTCATTTTCCTGTATGAAAGACAATTAGACAAATCAGACTAGAACTTATAGGCAGGTAGGACCACTATTATGGAATGCAGTTTGTGTTATTCCAGGAAATATTAAAACATATGAATTTCTACTGAGGAAGACGGGTTTAGAATGTCGTGGCATTAAAACACTCCGTACGAGGTATGCTCAAAACTTAAAGAGAACATGCATTTAACCACAGAAGTGGTGACTCATTTTGCAATCTGCAAACGCTTAACAAAAGGCAAAAAGCACATTGGCTGTTGTTGTCAACCGAACATATAAAACATGTGACGCCACAAAACGGTCGTCTGACATTTTCTGCAAACTCTTCGTTTAGTTATCAAAAGTTGAGATGAATAAAAAATCTGGTAGAGAGCATGACAATGTGAAAGTATAAAGACACAAAACTGAAGAGCGTTTTTATTACTACGACTCTCGACCTTTCGAAATTGCATTTTTTTGGGCATGTGGAGTTGTTGTTAACATCTTAAAGCTTGTTCATTTGTCATGTTTTCGATAAATAATATAGCCATCTCTCTTCAGTAGAAGTCGAGATATTTAAGATTAAAGGAGGTGGGGTCGCTTAGCTTCAGAGGCCAAACTAGCAAGAAAATGGCCGCCAAAGTTTGGTGCCTTCCATGGCTTGAGAGTCATAGGAAATTGAACATTAACAATTCTTGCGCCTTTAATCGACACTGAAAGTACAATCCACACAGGAATGTATTTTTAATTTTAAGAGGTGTTGAGTTTTTAAAAATCGATGAAATTTGCCACACAGGGGGGAAAATGCTTGTTTCTTCGATTCCATTGTTTTGACGAGCGCGAGATGCCTTACATTAATTATTGTCTGCGAGTAGCTAGAGTATCGTAGAACCTTGGTCCTATGGCTCCTAAACTGTGCTGAGGAAGACACATGAACGTCAAAACTAGTGCAGTGTTCTTCTAACACCGTTACTGCGCATTACAAAGTGAACCTAGACCTGTAGCTGTGGGTATGTTACGAGGAGATTTGCTGAATTTTCTTGTCCAGAACAATTTTAGAGTAGTCAATTATCTTGTGATAAACACGGTGAAAAGTGCAACAATATTTATGGAAATTGTGTTGAGAAGTAGACGTATGTTAATACTACATACAGCTTTCGGTTGTTGTTGTTTTTGTTGGTTTTGGGGCTGTTGTTTTTTCAGATTCATCTAGAACAGTCTTTTCAGTGGCAGTTTAAGCTTAATTTCCGGAGGTGTGTCGAAAATCAACAAAATTAATTTAACAGAAATTTCAAACTTAGTTCTCGGGAGAATTCATGAACGAGCTCATAAATATTGTTGTTACGTCTATTCACCTTCCTTAAAAGATACATTTTCAAACGAATGTCTTCACAAAAAGCTGATTGTGATTTACTGACACAGAATTTCATAACAATAATTAGTAACCAATTCCCACATTTGTCAAAACCACTTACGTTTGAGAAAGTATCCTCTAACTGTGTTGCATTGGTCAGGAACTCCGGGTAACCAATCTTGACCCTAATGGCTGCATTCTGAAGAAGTAATGTTCACCATGAATGACACAGCCATACTTCTTGCAAAAACGACACTTTCTTTACGATATTATTATGATGCCCACAACGACATTTCCAGTGTGTAACTGACTTATTGATAATAAACCCTTCTGTGGGGTTTATGATATCTGGGTAAAGAGAATTAATATTATGGGGAAGAAGAAGAAGAAGAAGAAGAAGAAGAAGAAGAAGAAGAAGAAGAAGAAGAAGAAGAAGAAGAAGAAGAAGAAGAAGAA